TCTCAATTTTCTCAAATATAAAATCAAAAAAATCATCTTAATAAATTACTATATTTCGAACTTTGATTTTCTTAATTTTCTCAAATATAAAATCAAATACTGAGTGAAAAAAGGTCGATTTCTAGCATACTTGATGATGATTATAAGGAATCATCATCAAGTCAAACTTCTAATACATCTTCTTGTAAAAGAAGAAATAGATCAATTGCTAGTTTAATTGATGAAGAATCTATCTCTACTTCAAGGCCATTAATATCTCGTAATACAAGAAGTAGATTTCAAAATTCACAAAGTTCTATTTTGTATACATTTCATCAATTTGGAATTCAAGAAGAAACAGGAGAACCATCAACATCAACTTCTGCTAGGCAGAACATCGAATATGAATCTGATGATGAATATTAAGAGGATTTTGATTCTACTTTCTTACTTCGAAGACGTGTAAAAAGTACACAAATTGTCCTAAATCTGGTATAAATTCTTCTGATGATTCTGAAATCAAAACTAATCAATCTTCAGAATCTTTTGAATTTACTACTTAAGAAGATGAAGTTATAAGTGAATCTGATGATGGTAAATCTGATGATAATGGTGATTTTGAAACATTTAAGGATTATGCATCACTGGATTATGAGCCATTTTGAGATCCACCAAGTACAAAATCAATTGATGATGACTGATTTTTATGAATATTAATTTGAATTATATCATTTCGGACAAGATTCAACATTACAGAGTCTGCAATTGAAGCTTTGATAAAATTTATGAAATTGGTTTTGACAGAAATCAGAGGTGACGATTTTAAAGACTTTCCGAATTCAATATTCTTAACAAAGAAGGCGCTTGGAATAAAAGACAGATTTCAACATTTTGTTTCTTACTCCAAATGTTATAAACTGTATCAAAAAATAGGAAGTGGTGAATTTTAGACAAGATAATATGTTAACTATAATGAAATGTCGACATGTAGAATTTCCCAATTCGTCAATTTGCAAATCACGCTTTTGCAATATACCATTATCTCAAAAAATTACTGTATCGACAAATCGAACAGTAATTCGACCTAATTTAATCTTTCCTTTTTGTGGAATATAACAACAACTCGCTTTCATATATCATCGGCCTCATTTTGAAATTAATTTGAGACTTGGGCGAATTGTCAGCATTTTGACAACATTATAACTGACATATATGATGGTCAAGTATAGCAGACGTTAAAAGAATCTTCTGAGGACAATTCACCAAAATTTTTTCAAGATGAAGTGACTGATTCTCACCTTGAATTAATGCTGAATCTTGACTGGTTCCAGCCATATGATGGTACTGTTTATAGCATTGGAGTAATA